CTAATGCATGCAATACAAATGCATGGATGCACGCATGCATAGCATAAGGTATGCTAAATTAAACATGTTTGAGTTGATGTCGATATGTCATTGCCGTAGCTGGAGGCCATCTCTGGTTGACTAAGTTCAATCACAATTCGCCCCAACAGCGGGGGCTCCTGGGGTACAAAACTCCCGGCATATGGTGCGGCTGGAGGTGAAGCTGACATTCCGTAGGCGAGATCCGCCACAGACCTTTGAAGATCACCTATCATCCCCATTAGTTCGAATGTAGTAGGCTCGCAAGCCTGGTATAGCTGGGGGGCCCAAACCGGGTGCGCAACAGGCGACCTGGGTGGATGTGGCATATCAATATTGGTCTCACCTTGCAGAGTGATCCCTTGCTCTAATGCAGCTGTCATAACCATGATCTCTTCTGAATTCTGCGTCATCATAAGTCCTGCCTCAGCAAGGGGGGGCACTAGTTATTCTGTACCAGCTGTCTGAACTGAAAGAGACAACAAACAGCATTTCAGCCCAAACAGATCAAACACGGGTGTAGCCGAATGACTGCACTCTACTACTGATCACTGTTCCCCAGAAATCACTGTCCCCAAAAATTGAACCTGATGCCCGCAGATAACTGGTTTCTCAACAACACTGATACTGGTGCCCTCAGGCCCGATATTCAAACTTGCAAACTGATATGTACGTTCCTGTAGAGATACATTCTAAAAGCACATAGCAAGTAAAGAAAGCCAAAACACCCCTATGTTGGGGTAGGTTTCCTTGTCCTATTTTGTCAGGAGCTAGGGTTCCACTATGCACACAGCAGTTTCAAACAACCTATAATCAGGTAAGCAACCTGTCCTAGCTTGGAATGGTCACTATGGATTCCGAATATGTACTAGGTCGAATGGTCGAAAAGGATGCCCCGGTAAAACCGGGGTTTATGTTCCCATACTGTCAGAGCCCATAACCGGTCAGCCTTATGGTCATGCCTTGACAAGACAAGCCTCCGGCAAACCGTTCAGGAATGGCAGATGGCAAACACTGTGTTCCTAGGCGCACCAATGCACATGCAATGCAAAGAGACACATAAATGAGATCAAAATAGGATATCATAAATGAGATCAAAACACTGTAGACGCGCCTGTGTGGGGCCCTCGCTACAGTTCGGACTCGATTTGTGTCGTGGTTCTTAATCTGAACCAAAGAGTCCAAATCTGGCAAATCGTTTTGAGAAACAGATTTTTGAAAAAGTAGTGCCAAACATTGGACTGCTTTGGCCAATACACGGTCGCACACTAAATATTCTTTTATGGCAGGAATTTTAGAAACCCATGACTCGGTGCCGAAGGCCAACATGTCCGTCATCAACCGGAGTGTCTCGGCTCGGGAGCTAGGGTACGATTGGGGGAATGTCAGCTATGAGCACCCCCCGTCTCGGCCGACCGTAAGATCGGCCTCTACTACATGATATCGATTTTGAAAACGTTATGTGTTTCTTTTATTCCGGTTATTAGCCTAGAATTACTATGTTATGCTACAGCAAACAAGTATCAGACTAGATTGCTAAATTTGGAAACAAGCATTTGCATATCCGTTTTGGTTTGAAAAACGTTTTGGAAATTCTGCTATTTCGAAAATTAGCTAAAATACGGATTTCAACGAGTTTTTTCCAACTCAAACAATCAACTTCACCCGTAGGCATTCAAACAGTTTTTATCACATAGGCATCTAGCCACAGGTAAGTATACTTGTCATGTTAACATTCACACGCATGCGAGGATGTTAAAGAGCATAAGTAACTTACATCGTCTCCGTGCCAAAACAATAACTAGTTAGAAACATGGCATAATCCTAGTTCATGTCAAGTTGGTGACTAATGCAAAACACATGCAAGATGCAATTAGAGTAGGCTCGGCTTAATCTACGATAGACATGTGAAATGCAAATCAGATTGCACGTATTCAATTTTGGAATTGAAATACAAATACAGTTAGCATGATGTACCGAGCCCGGTGCATGCAGACAAATGAATGAATTGCACGCATGCATTGCATAGGGGTTATATGCTAATTTTAAATATGCCCTAGTCTACCATCATAAGCAGGTAAATAAAAGGGAAGAAAGACGTGAGGTTGGAAGACATACACACCACTCACGCACACTTATTACAGATTTGCCCTCGCCCGGAGGGACCAAATAAATAATACAAATTAATTAACTACGCAAGCTAATTAAATATTACAAATTGCCTAATCAGCTAACAAACTAACTAAGCTAGAAAAAGCAGTAAACCGCCTTGGGAGGAGAGCCAGATGCAGCGCACGCTCGGGTCTCGCTCGAAAGTGCACGGCCGTACATAGTCTGCCTCTGTTTTCCCTGCTCTGCCTGTCTGAAGACTGCCAAAGTCTCAAGGATGCCTTTCTAGATACTGGGAATCACCACCGGCTGAGTAGAATCACCACCGGCACAAAATGAATCCATCGGCTGATGATTTACTGCCAGTCAGCAATTTATAATGCCGGTCGGCAAAGAATGCCTGCAGAACCTGCAACTCACAGCAGCAGAGGACAGAACTTGCATGGCAATACAATTCAAGCAATGTATGCACCAATCATGTCCCCTATCATGTTTGTGACTCAAAGGGGCATGTGTCTCGATTCTCGGACCGCGAATCACGCATTTCCATGCATGATGGCCCAAAGAATCAAGTGTGCAACTTTCATGTCAAATGAAATGCCAACCAAACAAACAAACCAAGGCCCAATTCCCATCACCAAATCAAGGAATAAGGCATGCATGCAAGATGCAATGCAACCTAGCATGCAAGCTAAGGATGCAACATGGCATGGCAAGACACTTATGCAAGCATACAAGTAAACATGAGGCAATGCAAATTGATGGAAAGGTGGACTTACACACGATTTAGGCAACTCTAATTAGGCCTAAAACAATGGCCAAAGCAAACATATAGGCATGCAAAAGGGACTGAAATGACATGGTGGATGGTTCCAAACCACTAAATCAATGCAAAAATGTCATGCTATACATTCATACACTTAAGGCCAACAAGCCGAAATGCAAAGGAGCTATACTAAGCATGTCAAATCCGACCCAAACGACCTAGGACAGACCTTAAACATAGCAAAATGAGCACAAAACCTTCACAAGGCTAAGCCTAAAACATGCTAGAACAAAGGCTAACAACCTAAGGCATATTAAGGCAATAACATGGCATTACATGGTAGGTATGCTAAGCATGCATGGTGTACCAAAACCAACACACAACAAAGTTATATCATGGTATAATAAGTATGGAAAACAACCAAGACATGATCAATACACACTCTAACATGATGCTCTCTCAAAAGGCCAAAAAGGGTCCCTTTCAAGGACAACAAGGAGAGGGGGTGGCCCTCCCCTTTTGGAGACTTCAAGGCACCATCTACACCACTGAAATCCCTCAAGATTTCAGTGGTGAAGAGGCCCAAACACCAAAGTCTCGAAACTCACTCAAAATGGCTCAAAATGGGGCCTTTCAAGGCCTAAGAGGGGTCAAACACCTCCAAACCACAAAACACTCTAAACAAACAATTTAGAAGGCCTAAAAACAGAACTTTTTTGTATTATACACCAAGCTCAAAAATGAATTTAAGACAGGTAGAAATACAATGCAAAATTGGGGAATAAAGAGGCAAAATTGTTACCCTTGAAGACCCCTTCAACAATGGTGCTCCAACAGCTCCTTCTAGGTTGAAAACAGCTCCAAAACTTCAAAACCAACCTCTTAGAACCTAAGTAGCTAAGTGAAGGTGAAATACTATGTGTTTGTGTGCAATAGTAAGACACAAATGCACTTTAACACCCACAAGAGGGAGATATAGAGATAAAAAGTGTATGGATTCTAACCCTAGAACTCAAAACCCTAAAAATGGCTAAACTAATTAAGCTAAAAAAAGCAATAAACCGCCTCAGGAGGACAGCCAGATGCAGCGCGTGCTCGGGTCTTGCTCGGAAGTGCACCGCCATGCATAGTCTGCCTCTGTTTTCCCTGCTCTGCCCCTCTGAAAACTACCAAAGTCTCAAAGATGCCTCTCTGGATGTTGGGAATCACCACCGGCTGAATAAAGTTACCACCGGCAGTCAATTGTGGTCATCGGCACAAAATTGATCCATCGGCTGGTGATTCACTGCCGATCGGCAATATATACCGCCGGTCGGCAAAGAATGCCTGCAGAACCTGCAACTCACAGCAGCAGAGGACAGAACTTGCATGGCAATACAATTCAAACAATGTATGAATGGGGGAATTTAGGAAACCCTCTAGCCACTGCCGGTGGTGTGTGGGGATGCCTCACAAGGCATTCCCTGCCCCTTCAAGGCAAAACACAAGTGTTTGGTGCAAAACCAGACACTAAACAGTCGAGTTCGGAGATCCTGAGGCAAGGCGCGCGAGCCGAGACCTCCGGGAACTCCAAACGAACACAAACAAGGGTAATCACCAAGTGTTCCAATGGTGACGTCCAAGTCTTGAGGACGATCAAAAATGGGGTGTCTACACATACCAAATTTACAGTTTCAAATTGCAAATTAATCTTTATAATGCCATTAAAAATTTGTAATGTTATACAAAACATGCAGGAATATGTGTCAACTCATGGAAGTCAGGTTTGCGCGGATTTTGTGTTAGATTACACCACTCAATTCACAACTGAACAGGTTCACTCTACGAAATTATAACGATTATGTTTGGAATTGCTCACCAAATGTAAATGTTTGATAATATTTATTTAACTTTGTAGGTATTCAAAAGTAAAGATGAATTGCTTAACTGGGTACATGAAGTTGGAAAGATAAATGGTTTGGTCATTGTAATCAAAACATCAGACTATGGTGGAGGGAAAAAAAGACCCAGGATGTATCTTGCTTGTGAGAGGAGTGGCCAATATAGAGCAACAAAGAAGTTAAAACATGATGGCAACAATACATCAAGAATAACTAGTACGAAGAAGTATGGTTGTCTTTTTGATACGAGGGCTCACAGGTTTACCACACATGATGAATGGACATTGACCGTAGTATGCGGATTGCATAATCATCCACCTGCGGAGCACCTCGAGGGACATTCATATGCGGGGAGGCTATCAAAGGATGAGAAAGCATTGTTAATGGATATGTCAAAGAGCATGGTTCATCCAAAAGAAATCCTAGTAACCTTGAAACAACGAGATGTCCTCAATGTAAGCACACTTAAAACCATTTACAATGTACGCCATCGAAACAGGGTGGTACAGAGAGCTGGAAGATCACAGATGCAACACTTATTGGGTGAATTGGCCAAGTATAATTACATTGAGCGCCATCGGTCTGAAGAGTCCACGATGACTGTGACAGACTTGTTTTGGGCACATCCTACCAGTTTGGACTTATTTCGGTCTTTCCCACGTATATTAATTATGGATTGCACATATAAAATCAACAGATATCGGCTTCCTCTTCTTGAAATTGTGGGAGTGACATCAATTAAAATGACATTCTCTGTAACTTTCGCATACTTACAGTATGGGAGGGTCGATAACTATGCGTGGGTGTTAGCTACATTGCGTGATGTCATGGATGGGTTTGTTGTGCCAATAGTTATTGTTACTGATAGAGAGCTAGCCTTGATGAATGCCATACAGAAGATATTCCCGAGTGCAGACATTTATTATGTCGTTGGCATATCAGTAAGAATGTGTTGACCAAATGTAAGAAAATGTTTGAGACACAACAGAAATGGGAGAAGTTCAACCATGAGTGGAACTCTATAGTGTATTCATCTTCTGAAATTCAATACGATGAGCGTCTTAAATCGTTACTTAAGGAATTCAGTAGTTATCCTAATGCAGTCAAATACGTCATGGATACTTGGTTGGTTCCTTACAAGGACAAATTTGTGGCGGCATGGACAGACACGTGTATGCATTGTGGCAATGTTACAACGAACCGGTAAGATTGCTTTTCTTCAATATGTTATTAATAAGTGCCATGTACTTGATTTTAACTTGACTTACATTGAATTGAACAGGGCTGAGAGTGCACATGCAAAACTTAAAAGACAATTGGGTTCATGTCAAGTCTCATTTCAGGCATCATTTGAGAAAATACACAGTCTGCTTGAGTTGCAACACACTGATATCAAGGCTTCATTTGAGAAAAGTCTAATTGTTGTGCAACATCAATTTAAACCTTCTCAATTCAGGGAGCTACGGGGTAATGTGTCTATCTCTACATTGGAGTATTTGCTTGTAGAGAGTAAGAGAGCCAATTCCATTGGTATTGATGTTGAAGCTTGTGGATGCGTCCTTCGCCACACTAATGGTTTACCTTGCGCCCATGAGATTGTTGACTACATCAGACAAGATCGTCCTATACCACTTGCTACCATACACTCACAGTGGAGGCAACTTCATATCTCCATATGCAAGAAAGAAGAGGAAACGAAGGTGACTTGTCATGCAGAAGTAGAGTTGTTTGTGAACAAGTTTAATGAAAATGATAGAACCATGCGGTTGGAGCTTTTGAAGAAGTTAAAAGAGATTGTATATCCGGGAAGCACTTTTCTTGTTGAGCCGGAGGTGAAGCCCAAAACACGTCATCAAGATCATAAGAAGATCAATGTTTCTACCCCTCGTGACCTGTGTGCATTTGAGTTAGTGCAATCTGGACATGATTCATTCTCACCTAGGGACACTCAAATCACTACATTAGCTTCTACTTTGCAAACCAAAAAGAAGTGACCTGTTAAGGGAAAAGAAAAGGTGAATCCGAAAGGGAAAGCATACATTACTAGAACAGTGAAACCTGGTGCATATGTTGATGCTTTCCCTGCTGGGTTGAAACCATACATTAAGTTTGTGAAGGATGTAGCTGCAGATGGGAATTGTGGTTTCAGGGGCTGCTTCAATTGGTCATACAGAAGATGATTGGGCTCAGGTTAGGCGTGATCTATTGGGTGAGCTGCACACGCACAAAGAGGAATACATTACACTTTATGGGTCCTATTAAAGGTTTGAAGAATTGACAAGCATATTGTCATACTTTGAAGACAGTCCTGGATACTCACATTGGATGACTATGCCAGACATGGGGCACCTTGTTGCATCGTGCTACAATCTTGTGTTATACCACTTGTCTTTACAGTAATGTCTCACCTTTTTACCTTTTAGAACAGTGCCAGTACCTCAACTTGATAGACGTGAGATTGCCATTGGGTTTGTCAACGGAAATCATTTTGTCCAGGTATAACAGAAACTTATCAATTGGGTTTGTATATGTACAAGAAGTTATGGGGTATTACCACTAAGTCAATTGATATTTGGTGCAGGTTTTGTTGCAGCCAGGCCATCCAGTTCCTCCTATTGCCACTAATTCGAGAAAATACCGTCGCCCTTACGCTGTCGACTGGGATGATGTATATGTGCGTCGCATTCAACATTTCAAGGACATTATTCATGATAATGTAGCTACTCAAGAGACTTTTGATGTTGTTGATGTCGCATGACACATGTATGCATTTGACAATGTTAGAATTATGGAAGAAATTAATTGATGTGTTTTTGATGTTGATGTGTTATTTTTGCAATGTGGATTGAATGTTGTCGACCATTGTTACCATTCCATTAAAATAAGAAAATATCATTTACAAAATCAACGACCATTGTTACCATTCCATTCTAATAATAAAATGTCATTACAATGTCATTACAATACCATTGTTGCCATTCCATTGCAATAAGAAAATATTAACCACTGTTACCATTACAACAATGTCATCTTACAAAAAACACCAAAAAAAATTCATCAACTAACAAAATAACATGTCACGAATCAGCTGTATGCCTACGCCTAGGCCTACGACTGTATGTCAATGTTGAAGATGGAAAGCGACCTCCAGCAGAACTAGGTCCAGCTTCGTCAATGTGCTGACCTTCAAGGACATGCGTCATACTCTCGATAGCCTGGTAAAGTCGAGAAGGATGTTGAATCCCCTCCTAATAACCAGCGTCAATAATAGGATGTGAAATCTGCAGTGCATGTGCAATACGCTACATTTGAAAAGAATATCACATTTTAGGGAACATATCAGGAAAAAAAAAGTAAGTTACATATGTATGCATAAGAGAGGATAATAGATTACATTCGCATGTTCGCTGAAATCCTGATGGTCATGGACACGCGGTTCATCAATGTGCTCGACATATAGGTGCGTGATATTCTTATACCAATCCATGTAACCCGGTACACATTGCCAAGGCTAACAAACTGGTGTGCTCCTCCGTTGCTCAGATAACACGTGGTTATCCCAAGCCTCCCAGATCCTATCCAAGTATCTGTACATGACTATATATCGTGCAGATATGTTGCCTCGCGCACCACGACTGGGAGCTAGCGGTCATCTGGGATGGTTTGAACCCTGCCAAACTGCCTCAAAACTCTATCTGGATGATAGGGTTCAACAACGTCTAAGCACTTTAAGCATCCATGGTAGAACGTAACAGGGTTACATGGATGCCGGTCTCTGCAACTATGGTATGGATCCCAAATAACCTGTAAACGTAAAGTGTTTTTGAATTAAAGTACATAAAGGGTAAGATAAATGGAAGTGTTAAAATTATCATAGGATGAGTAAACTTACATCAGTAGCTACCAAACTGTCAAGCTCGGCTCGAAAAGATTTCAAATGCTCAATGGAGGAACCCGTCTCTCTCCTAGATGCCCAATGGTACACGTGTGGCATGTCTTCATTGTAGCCCATGTTCTGATGAGGTCGGAATACTCGGAAGTGCTCATAAATCCACGCCTCCAAAAGAGTCATATAGCCACCAATCTGCTTAACCCCAGACCGGCTAGCATACCTCAACTGTCTGTATAAAAATGCTAATGCAGCAACACCCCAGGCGTAAGTATGTATGGATCCCAAATCCATCAATAAGCCAAGGTAAACAACGGGAACCCTGTCGCCACTCTTGTCACTGAAGAGTGTACATCCCAATAGAAACAACAAATAAGCTCTAGCAGCGCACTATATAGCCTCATCGGGGTCTGAATCTGTGACACTAGCAAACTGACTTCGCAACCATTCAAGCTTGACTGAATTGCCACCAGCAAAAAAAAACCTCTTCATGTGCTGCACGTTCAGTAATCCCCAAGCCATAAACCAGTAGTGTAACTCCATGATGATCTGTCACATCTGGTATGCTGACTGATTTGCCTACAATAGGAAGGCCAAGAATAGTGCTAACATTATCCAGGGTCAAGGTCATCTCACCAATTGTCGTGTGAAATGCGTTCGTCTCAGGTTGCCATCTCTCAACAAAATTGGAGATTAGAAGCTTCTTGACGAACCGATAAGTGAAACGAGCTAACTGTGACAGCCCAGACTGCTCAATAATGGCTTTGAATCTGGTGTTGTTCTCTACTAACCACCATGGCCATGCAAGGATCTTGGAAGAGTGATTATGACACTTTAGGGGCCCTCGTTCCTACAACACAAATGATATCAGCAAATAAGTATTCATGTGAAGCAGAGCGAAGGAAATGTGAGTTTAATTTTTTTTTT